ATGGCGTTATGAATTTAACTATTTAGCCATGAAGAACTCCCTCTTCCATGCAGTTTGGTGAATTAAGCGTGGTGGGAAGAACACCCCACTTGAGGTCAGAGTGGCTGAGCTCTAGACTTGTCTTTGCCTTTTTTCTTGTGTGGGTGAGTCCCTTCCTCATTCTAAACTTCCTCTGCAGTTGAATGTATGTAAAACTAAGTGTGGTGCATCAGAGTGCCAAGAACTACATGTATGTACCCAGCTACACAGAGGCATTGCTATGATTCCATGGCAAAAGAATTGGGCTGGAGTTGTGGCTCATGGGTAGAGTGCTTGTCTGGCATGTGTGAGGTACTGGGTTCGGTCCTTAGCACCACATAAAAGTAAATAAATAAAGTAAAGGTATTGTGTCCATCTACAACTAAATAAAAAAATAAATAAAAAAAGAATAGGAAAGAAATTGGGTTTGTTCAGTCCAGGAAGAGGGTAAAAGCTTTAGAATTTTCCTGGATGCAGCATACATACAGTAAGGCCTCCATACCTATGGGTTCCATATCCAGATTCAACCAACTGCCAATCAAAAAAGTGTTAGGCCTATGATTGCTATGTCTGTACTGAACATGTATAGCCTTTTTTTCTTGTCATTATTCCCTAAACAATATAGTTTAACAATTATTTACATGACATTTCCATTGTATTAGATATTATAAGTCATCTAGATATAATTTTAAAAATTATATGGGAGTATGTGTGTAGGTTATGTGCAAATGCTATGTGCCATTTTATATAAGAGACTTGAGCATCTGTGGATTTTGGTATTGGTGGGGGGAAGTCCTGGAACCAATCCCTCCTTGGATACTGAAGGATGCTGGTATCCTAGAGCCCTGAAAAAATGTAGAGCAGAAAAGAGGCTCAGAGATCATTCTGCTACCCCTTCACACAGTATTTCTAAATATATTTACACCTATAACATGACGTAATGGAAAAATGGGTTTGACATGTGGATTTCCTCTTTTAAGGCATTGTCATATCTGGCTCAAGGTCCTGGAAAAGCACTTTTTTTTTTTCTTTTTAAACATACTTTTTTCTTTTAAGTTTTAGATTGACACAATACATTAATTTTGTTTATTTATTTTTATGTGAGGATTGAACTGAGGATCGAACCCAGTGCCTCACACATGCTAGGCAAGCGCTCCACCACTGAGCCACAACCCCAGCCCCCTGGGAAGCACTCTTTAAAACCCAAGTTCTACTTCTGGTTCTTCACCTAATGAGGCATATGGCTTTAGGCAAGTTCCTTAAACCTCTGGGCACCTCAGTTTTTGTCATCTATAAATTGAGGTTTATGATCCTGCCCTACCTGTCTCACAAAATTATTGTGAAGTGAAAATGAGGCACCACATGTGAAAGTGGTTTGAAAATGTACGCTTGGCACCTGCCAAGCTGTGTCTTGGAAGCTCTGCCCCCCTGTCCAGGATAGAGGTGATGAGGGTCACACAATGAGACTGTTCCAAGGTGGTGGTGCTGGTGGGAGACCTACAGAGAGCCCCAGCGCGTCCACAGTGCCAGGCTTGCTCAGGTGCCTGAGACTGGGGAGGACAGATGTGGTCACTGTCCTCATGGTGGGGGGAGCAGACAATAAAGAGGAAGATAAATAGGGCTAGGGGCATAGCACAGTGGCAGAGCATTGGCCTAGGATGCTTGAGGCTGCCAGAGAGAGACAGAGAGAAATAACATATGGAAACAGAAACTTAGAGAGGTGTGCTCTGAATTCCCAACAGAATGAAACTGAGCAAGGTCAGTAAAGATAGTAGAGAAGGACAGGGCAGGGCTGAGAGTGAACTCAGTGGTAGGGCGCTTACCTAGCAGGCACAAAGCCCTGGGTTCCATCCCCAACGCTGGGGGAAAAGAGAGAGAAGACAAGACAGGAGCGACTTAAGGGACCACCAAAGAAGGTTTCTCTTGCCAGTGTGGTGTTGTTCACCTGAAATTCCAGAGACTCAGAAGGCTGAGGCAGGAGGATCACAAGTTCAAGGCCAGCCTTAGCAACTTAGTGAGGCTCCATCTTTTTATTTTTATTTTTAAAACATTCTAACCCAAATATGAATTTTCTTTCTTCCTTCCTTCATTCCTTCTGTACTGGTAATTGATCCCAGGGGCACTTAATCATTGAGCCACATCTCCAGCCTTTTTTTTTTTTTTTTATTTTTTATTTTGAAACAGGGTCTCACTAAGCCCTGAAACAGGTCTTACTCAGGGCCTCACTAAGTTGCTGAGGCTGGCTTTGAACTTCCGATCCTCCTGCCTCAGCTTCCTGAGCCACTGAGATCACAGGCATATGGCACCACCCAGCTGTGAGACCCCTTCTGTTTTTAAATTTTGTTTATTTATTTATATGAAGTGCTGAGAATGGAACCCAGGGCCTCACACATGCCAGGCAAGAGCTCTACCACTGAACTCCAACCCCAACCCCGAGACCCCATCTTAAAGTAAAAAACAAAAAAGGGCTGGGGATGTGGCTCAGTGGTAAAGTGCCCTGGGTTCAAACCCCAGTACCAAAAAAAGAAAGAAAAAAAGAAGAAGAAGAAGAAGGAGGAGGAGGAGGAGGAGGAGGAGAAGGAGGTTTCTTGCAAGAGGTGACACCTGAGAACAAGAGCTGAGTGACAAAGAAAGCCATGTGAGGACCTGGGGCACCGAGTGTTCCAGCACAAGGGGATGTAAGTGCAAAAGCCCTGAGGCGGGAACAAACTCCTGCTGAAGGACACGAAGAAGGCTGGTGGTGGCTGAGAGCCCAGGCTGGAGAGGGTGTGAAGGGAGCATGCTGAGGCTTGCAGCAGGTTTGAAGGAAAGGCCAGACACGATCTAGTTTGTGTCCTACAAAGATCATCTTCCTCTAGGATTGAAGTTTTACCTCCTGCAAGCTGTGGTGGAAGCACCAGGGAATTTAAAGAACTTGCAAGGGCATTGACTGTGAACCTGAACCTCCAGAGCAGGAAAACTGGGCCCTGAGCGGGAGCCACTTGCCTGAGGACACCCCACTGCTTCATTCTCCTGCTGGCATTGGAGCCCGGGTCCCAGATCCCTGTCCCAGTCCACCCTCAAAGCCAATTCCCTCCAGGGTGATTGGAAAAGGTTCAGAAAGACACAGAACAGGAAGGAGGGCCTGGAAGGGTCCCTCCTGCTGCCCCCGGGCTTCCTGATTCAGCCCTTGAGACCCCGCACTGTGCTCCAGAAGGAAGAGCATTGCCCCGGTAGGTTCTGTCCTGCGTCACTAGGCCCAGGCCTGATCCCGGAGCTGGCAGCAGCAGGGAAGAGGGGTCAGTTCCCTGAGCCCAGCTAGCCAAGAGCAACCTGATCAAGCAGGAAACTGGCCTCCAGCCAGCCAAAGCCATCCACCAACCCAGCACCTGGAGCCTTTGTTCCCTTTATTCCTGTTGCAAACTTTCCCAGGCACCTGCACTAGGCCTCAGGAGCACCTGGGCCAGCCAGGGGCTCCCACGGGATCTAGTTCTCCTGCAACAGGGAGTGGTCACCTTGTGACCCTGAGGGAGGTCTTGTGATATAATTACAACAAGAACAACAATAGCTGTCCACTTGTGGAGCTCTTACTACAGACCAGCTGCTCATTTCATTTAACCTTCACCACAAACTGGAGAGGCACAAACCATTATCATCCCCATTTTACAGATTAGGAGATTGATGCATAAACAGGTAAGGTGCAGGTCACACAGTGTAAGGAAGTGCAAATTCCTTAGGCTTTACCGTCAACAAATCCCAGCCCTGCTTGCCTCTGTGATCTTGAACAAGGTCATCTGAATCTGACCACAGAAGACTGTTAGGAAGATTCAAATTATTTAGGCTGGGGTGGGGCCTATCTCAGTGTTCAGCATGTGCAAGGCCTAGGCTTGATCGATCCCCAGCACCAGAGACACACACATTAAATGATCTGACGTAAGGACAACCTTGATCCACACACGTCTTGCTGTCTTCCTCTCCACTTCTCTGTGACCTTGGGCACATAACTAATGCCAAACCTCAGTTTCCTCATCAAGCAAATAGGCATAATAAAAATTACCTGATAAGGTTGTTGAAAGTGGAAAGCTCTTCCAGTGCTTTTTCTTTTCTTTCTTTCTTTCTTTCTTTTTTTTTTTTAGTAGCAGAGATCTAACACAGAGAAGTTTTACCACTAAGCTACATCACAAATCTTTTTTTTTTTTTTTTTTGGTACCCAGGATTGAACTCAGGGGCACCACTGAACCACATCCCCAGCCCTATTATGTATTTTTTATTTAGAGACAGGATCTCACTGAGTTGCTTAGCTCAGCTTTTGCTGAGGCTGGCTTTGAACATACAATCCTCCTGCTTCAGCCTCCCAAGCCTCTGGGATTACAGGAATGCACCACTTTTTTTTTTTTAATATTTTGTTGTTGTTAATAGACCTTTATTTTATTTATTTATATGCAGTGCTGAGAATCAAACCCAGAGCCTCACACATGCCAGGCAAGTGCACTACCGTTGAGCCACAATGCCAACCTCAATTTTTATTTTTTACTTTGAAACAGTGTCTCACTAAGTTGCTGGGTTGGTCTCAAATTTTCGATTCTCTTGTCAGCCTCCCGAGTTGCTGGGATTACAGGTGTGCACCAGGACACCTGGCCAGTGCCTCTTCTTTTTTTTTTTTTCGGGGGGGTACCAGGGATCGAACTCAAGGGCACTCAACCACTGAGGCACATCCCCAGCCCTATTTTGTATTTTATTTAGAGACAGGGTCTCATTGAGTTGCTTAGCACCTCACTGTTGCTGAAGCTGGCTTTGAACTGACAATCCTCCTGTCTTAGCCTCCCGAGTCACTGGGATTACAGGCATGTGCTACTGCATTCGGCCAGTGCCTCTTCCTTTGAGATCATTCTAAAAGATGTTCTTTTACAAAATTTCCCTTCTTGCTTTCTACCAAAATCAACAACCACAAATAGAAAAGCCAGTCTTTACCATTCCCATTCCCAAAAGCCAGTATTACTCACCTGGGTTCAGAGGATTTTCTCAGAAGGAAAATCAGAAGTGACAACTCAAGTCATCACCTGGTTACTAGGATTCTCTCTTGTTCCACTCTAAGACAAATGACCCCACCACAGTAGCAATAGCAAGATGCCCAGACAGACTGTTGTAAGCTGAGGTAGAGTCTAGGGAAGATCCACTGAAGATTTCAGCCTAGCAAAAACAAACAAAAACACTTCTTCTATAAATTAGACAATATTTATCAGGTTCTTGTTATCAGCAAAAACACCATTGGTATGTCTGTCTCCGAGCCCAATAACAGGGAATAAACTTAAAAACATATGTCAAGCACAGTGGTACACATCTGTAATGCCAGCAACTCAGGAGGCTGAGGCAGGAGGATTGAAAGCTGAAGGCCAGCCTCAGCAATTTAGGAGACCCCTGTCTCAAATTAAAAAAATAAAATAAAAGGGGGTGGGGGTGGGGGGCATGTAGCTCAAAGGTAAAGCACCAGGCTAAGGATATAGCTCAGTTGATAGAGTGCTTGCCTCGAATGCACAAGGCCCTGAGTTCAATCCCCAGCAACACACACACACACACACACACACACACACACACACGGTAAAGCACCTATGGTTTCAATCATCAGTTCGAAATATATATACATACCAAATATATATCTCACTCACACATACACATCCATCAGAGGGTTGTCCCAGCTCTTCCCAATGACCCCAATCCCTTCCTCTCAATCAACAGCTCTTTTTCTAGTCTGGCTCTGCCATCCAAGTAGGAGCTGGGATCCTTGCGGTGGTGCACGCCTATAATCCCAGCAGCTCAGAAGGCTAAGGCAGGAGGATCATGAGTTCAAAACCAGCCTCAGCTATTTACGGGGCACTAAATAACTCAGTGAGACCCTGTCTCTAAATTTAAAAAAAAAAAAAAATAGGCCTGGTTGAGCTTTCCTGAGTTCAATTCCCAGTAGCAAAAAAAAAAAAACAAAAACAAAAATTAGTCCCTGGCCACAGTGATTGGTCCAAGAGAAGGTTGAGTAATCTAGAAAAGCTAGACCTGCCAGTGTCTTTACCTGAATTTTAAATTAGAAGCTGGAGAGGGAAATTCTATTCTTCTTGGATTGCTGAGCTGGAAGGATGTGAAACTAGATCAGCCAAAAGCCATTCTCTGGGTAGAGAAAGCACCTTTGAAAAAGCAGAGGGGAGATGAAGACATCAAAGAGAGAAGCCATGAGAGGGATGGTGTTCTGGCATTATAGTCCCAGGTCCCTGTCTTCCCTTCTGCCTTCCCTGTGTAGTTGATTGAGGCAATAAATTCCTTCCTGTCCCTGGCAACTCTAAAGTCCTGCCCAACCAAACCACCCCACCTTGAGTGGTAATGAACACAACAGTTCAGTAGGAGAGATGTCACGGGCAAACTGAATGGTTTGCCAAGTGAAAGTTGGGCAGTCTAAGCGATGAAGTCAGAGGTGGACCAGTCAACCTTATTTATTCAGTCAACAAATACTGACTGAGCCCCTGTCTGTGCCAGGTACAGTACTTGACACTCAGGGTATGACCATAACAAATAAAGACAAGACCCCTTTTCTCATTTTGGAATAATCAGAAGGGACTTCCTAGAGCTGGTGGAGTTTGAAGAGGCCACTAAATGATGGTCACATCCAGCCAGGCAGAGAGAGAAAGACAGAATATTCCACAAAGGGAAAAAAGATATAGGCATGAGCCTGAGGCAGGAGGATCACAAGTTTGAGGCCAGCCTCGACAATTTAGAGAGACCCTGTCTCAAAATAAAAAATTAAAAAGGCCTGGGGATGTAGCTCAGTGGTAAAGCACCCCCAATAATTGGTAAGCAAATAGAAATAAAGATATGGAGGCCCAGCAGTGCCTCAGATCTCCACAGTGCCTGACTCAGTAGGCACTCAATAAGTATGAAAAAGTGAGTGAATAATGAAGTCATTTGGGGAAGAGCTGGTCATTCAGCTGAGCAGGAGAAGAGCTACTTTAAAGAAGGTGATGCTGGGAAGGGAGAGTGAAGCCAGACTTCAGAGGGCTGCACCCCAAATTGGACTTTGCCTTGACCACACTACAGTCTCGACTCTGGCTGGCCTGGGAGCAGCAGCTGGCCAGGCGCTGCGTGGGGTTCCATCTCTGTTGTGGTTGTCACACCCACACTCTCTCGGCCTTGTCAGCCAGGCTCCACCCAGCACCCTAACCCACACCATAGCCTCCCAGAGGTCATGCCCCAGACACGGCCCGCCCTGCTGGCTCCTGGGTGAGGCTGCCAGCACAGCACTCCTGCCCAGTCTATAATTTAAATATGACCTCCGCCCCAGCATGACAGCCCGTGGACTCTGCAGCCCAGGCGTACACTCACTCCCCTGCTGGAGCTGCTGAAATAAGGGAAGAAGTCTGGAGTCTAATGGAACCCCTGGACCTTGGCTTCATCCCTCCTAGTTCTGCTGGCTGAGGCTGGCACAGCTGGAGTCACCATAATTGTTTCCTTAGTTTGGAACTGAGGAGACCACGCCTCCTTGTGGCTGGGAGATGCTCAGCACCTTGACCCTCAGGGAGAGGAAGAATTTGCACCTTTGTATGTGTTTTGTATTTTATTTTATTTATTTTTTTTGGGGGGAGGGGTACTAGGGTTTGAATTCAGGGGCACTCGACCACTGAGCTACCCAAGCCTTATTTTGTACTTTATTTATAAACAGGGTCTCACTAAGATGCTTAGGGCCTTGCTTTTTTTTTTTTTTTTTTTTTTTTTTGCTGAGGCTGTCTTTGAATTTGCAATCCTCCTGCCTCAGCCTCCTGAGTCACTGGGATTACAGGCATGCACCAGCACACCCAGGTGTGTTTTGTATTTTAAATAAAATACATTCTGGCTACATTTCATGGTGCATGCCTGTAATTCCAGTGACTTGGGAGGCTGAGGCAGGAAGATGGCAAGTTCAGAGCCTGCCTGAGCAACTTAGCCAGACCAGGTCTCTAAATGAAAAAATAAAAAGAGCCTCTAGGAATGTAGCTCAGTGGTAGAGTACCCTGGATTCAATCTCCAGTACCAAAAAGAATGAAAATTATACAAGTTGATCTCTTAAGGAATCTCAAAGTAAACTCTTAAAAAAAATTTTTTAAAACGTTTTTTAAGGTACTGTAGATTGCACGCAGGAGCTCTACCACTGAGCTACACCCCCTGCCCTGGATTGCTGATACTTAGCCTCCAACTTGCTGTCCTCCTGCCTCAGACTCTGTGAGGATTATAATGATGCTTGCATCACTGCACCATGCAAAGTAAACACTTTTGAAAAAAGGATTTTTAGATTTTCATGAAGCCAAAGCAAATTTTCTGACTCTAATTTATTTTAAAACTTAACTACTCAGACAGAAGAATGTGATGTCTGAAAATTGTTGTCTTAGTTATTTGCCTCCTTTGTGCCAGCTCTAGGTAAACATGTTCCATGAGGTTATGGAACTTCCCCTTCTGTTATGATTCCAACAACCCTGTCAGGGCAAACAGGTACCTAGTCTGTGAAATGAACTGCAGAGGTAAAGAGCTCCTCTCTCGCTGGGCACAGTGGCACATGCCTATAATCCCAGGGGCTCTGGAAGCTGAGGCAGGAGGATGGTGAGTTCAAAGCCAGCCTTAGCAATTTAGCGAGGCCCTAAGCAACTTAATGATACCCTGTCTTAAAATAAAATTTAAAAAAAAGAGCTGGTGATGTGTCTCGGTCATTAAGCCCCTCTGGGTCTTATCTCTGGTACAAAAAAGAAAAGAAAAGAAAACAAACAAACAAAAAAAACACCCAACAAAAACCCCTCCTCTCTCCATATTTTTTAGCTTTGAAAACTAAGCCTTTCTCTTATGTTGTGTGAATTTGCAATAGAGGCAAACCTCTGAGTGTATGTGATGTTGACTTATTTACAGGCATTTTTGTCTATGTTATGTAATGCCTGGATTAATGTTAGCTGTTACTGGGGGTGGGGGTGGTAGGGAAGAAAGACAACTCAAAAAAACAGAAGACAGATTCTGATCCCAGAGGCCTCTCTGTCCACCTTAGCCACAACACACACAACCTGCAAACCACTACAATACAACGGTGGACGGTTACTAAACACGTGTGTGTTGAGAGCAGTCATTAGAGGGGAAGCAAGGCCAATGACAAGAAATGTATTTTTGAGTGCGTGTTTTGTTTTTGTAATACTTGGAATTGAACCCAGGCCTTGAGCCTGCTATCCAAGTGTTCTACCACTGAGCTACCTCCCCAACTCTATTTATTTATTTAGTTTTTTGAGACAGTCTGACTAATTGCCTGGGTGAGACACCATGCCAGGCTAGGAAACATGGTTTAAGAGGAATCTGGAAGAATACCATGCCCAAGCTGCATGTGGTGTTCATGTCTGTAATCCCAGTGACTCAGAAAGCTTAAGCAGGAGGATCCCAAGTTTCAAGGCCAGCCTGGAGGACTTAATGAGACCCTGTCCCCAAATTAAATCAAAAGGGATGGGGAGGTAGCTGGGTTCAATTCCCCAGTACTGCAACAAATAAACAAACAAGAACACTATGCCCATATACTGGGGTCTTATGGGGTGTGGGTAGATGTCAAGGAGAGGCCAACATCACTGTAAGGTCATGCAGTGGGACCAAAAGGAGGCAGATTTTAAAAGGCTGCTAAATGAGGCTTTATTGAGATTTCACTCCTGGGAGAGACCCTCCAGACCAACAGGGTGGGTCCCTGGAGAAGCACATGGGGCTGGACTGGATTGGAATTTTTATTGGGTTTAGGGCAGGAAGGGAGGGCTTGGGACAGAAAAAGGGGGTTTTCAGTGTCCCTTGTCCTACTGGGATTGATCTGGGGAGCTGGCTAAGATCCCAGGTTAGCCAGGAGACCCCACTGATTGACAGGTGGTTCCCTCAGTGCCTGATTGGTGGTTCTTTTGGGTGTGGGTTGCTTAGTGCTTTGTTCCTCAACTACCTCCACAGACCTAACAATCAACACATCTTCTAGAGATAAAACCATTATGCCCACTAAAGCACCATGGTTCACCTGCCATCTACTCTCCAGAGTCTGTCCATGCCAAGACCCCACAACGTTCTTGCTCCCCCTGAATGACTGCCACCCAAGCTCAATATGAACCACTGCCAGGTCTGTCTGGCCCACTCCTGCGCCTCTCCCCGCCCCCAGTATACTTCAGGCTGCACCAGGGGCATCAGAATACTTCTTGTCAGGACAACCTCACTGAAGGGTGCAAACTCAGTCCTTTGGATTCCCAGAGCTCCACCCCCCCCCAAAGTCAGATGTGCTCATTCTTTGAAGAGATCATCACCTGGGTGGGGGGTGCTGCAGCTCCACGCATGCGTCTGCAGCAAACTACAGGTAGCAGCACTCCACTCTGATTAGGACTGCCCTGGAAGTTTGTCCCAGTCACGGGGCTCAGTAGAGAAGGCAGGGATTATGAAATTCAGTTACCTAAAGCAGTGTAGCTTGAGGGCAGGAACCAATTGTTTTTAACCACGTGTCAGACCAGGAAGGTTGTTAGTGAGGAATGTTGCCTGCGGAGGATGGAGGGATTCCACTAACCTGAACTCAGTTCATCAGTAATTTTTCAAAAGACAAACAGAATGCCAAATTATTCACTTACACTGGGGTATGAGATTGCCACACCATTTGGAATACCACACCATTTGGAATACTCGGCAACTAGGAAGTTGTTCAGTGAATGAGAAACTCAACTGAAAGGGCCAGTGTTGCTCAGTGGTAGACTGCATGCTTAGCATGCACAAGACTCTGGGTTCCACCCCCAGCACCAAAAACAAAACGAAATGAAAAAACAAAAACAAACAACTAAATACAATAGGATGGATCAAATACCAAAAGACACCAGGACAAAGCAGCCTGAGGGAGCTGGGTATGTTGGCACACACCTATGATCCCAGCAACTTGGGAGACTGAGGCAGGAGGATCACAGGCTCAAGGCCAGGCTCGAGAATTTAGCAAGACCCTAACCAAATTAGTGAGACCCTGTCTCAAAATGAAAAGGGCTGAGAATAAAACTCAGTGGTGGAGCCCCCTGGGTTCAACCCTCTGTACTGTTGCTGAAAGCTTGATCCTTGTCCCCATGCCCACCCAATAATGTTTAAAAAACCCAGTGTTTTTCCTTTTTAAAAATATTTACTTTATAGTTGTAGGTGGACACAATACCTTTATTTT